TGAAAATTGTTAGTCATAAGATCTGTGTATGATCTATTGATAAGTTTTCAAATATAAAACTACATTACTTTTTAAATATATATTTTCAAAAAATAAAGTGCAAAAGATATCAATTAATGGATGTAACTAGGAAATAACTTACTCTTTTAAAACAAAAGTGTCAAGTTCTATTTTTTATATTCCAGTCAAAAAATAGAACTTTTTTAGTTATGAAACAATTAAGCATGGAAAATTTATTTAAAGTGATAATACTTGGAGATCACCATTCTGAAAGGAAAATGTGTCCTGAACATGCTAACAAAGCAACATTTATCTATAAAAATAAGTTTTATAGATCTGCTCCTTGGGACACAGTACTAAAAACTTCTGTACAGTACAATATCTTCATCTGTTACCCATTAACTGGATTTGTCCCTTAGATGGTGATCAGATCTCCATAGAAAGATTGCATTACCAGGACAATCTTTAGTACGCCAGTGTAGAATTACCCTATAAGTACTTATCGGAGATGTACATATATGCCCAGTACAACCATCTGTACAAAGTATTTCAAAATCTGAAAGCATAAAAATCTGTTCTATCCAATATTTTTTGTTTCCTCATCTAAGATTATTCTCTAAAATTCCAGGCATATTTTAATGTTACCATCAGTTTGTAGTTTTAGGTGCTTTCACATAATTTTTAATATACTTGAATGAAGTGCATTTAGAGATTAATGTTGTAAGTTATCCTGAGAACCCTTTAACCCAAGATGCTGCTTTGAAAAGTTGCAAGTATTAGGTACTTGAAAAGACAGTGCCAAAAAAAAAAAAAAGATGGATAGTTATGAGACTAATTAAATAACCAAATTTCAGATATGTGCTTCTTAGGCTTTAGATTATGACTGCAGAGCATTTGACCTTTCATATTTTTTTGAAAAATATTTTCCATTGTAACTCCCAATATTCTTGTCATTCCTATGAATGTTGCATACTTTCAGTGTCTTGATTAACTCTTTACTTCAATAACATTCCAAAGCAATGACTTCTATAGGCTTATCCTAATATCTTGCATGAAGTATTTTAAATCAGTCTTGAATTTGCCATCCATTAATATAACCAAATATGTCCTACTGGGACATTTGGAAAAACACCACTCCTAACCTATATAATCATTTTTCTTTCATGTCTTTATGTGTATGCTCATCCATGCATATCCATTTTATATTGTTATAAACTCTATTTTCAATTTAAACTTGTGTTTAAGTGCTTTTTAATTTTGAACGCTAATTAAGGAAACTGTAGTACTAATCTGCCAGGCAAACACTGTTAACTTTTCTGACTCTTTGCTTTCTGTATGCGAAAGATATAATTGCATTCAATGTGATAGGGGTTTGATTGTGCTCAGAACTAAATATTGCTTAGATTCAACTTTTTTTATAAGACCAAGGAAGACCTCAGGATCTCTGGAGCTCTTAAGAGGTTGTTTTTCTTTAGATAAAAGCTTGGTATTTATCATGCTACAGTAAATTTAAGTTCAGAGCAGCTAAGTTAGCTAGCACACACTGGCCTGATAAAGCTCAAAAGAGGTAGTTGTTGTCTTACTCCATGCATATTTTACATTAAATCATTGACACATCAAGGCTTGGAAAAGGTCAAAGTTGCTCCTGTGCGACAGGAATAATAGCTTACACCAGCAAAGAAAAGGGATTCACACTGCACTGTATCTGAACATTTGTTGAGCTATGGACTTCAAAGTTTGTGCTGTCTTATCTCATTATACAGCTCTATGCATTGTCTGCTCCCCCATGGCCACTATGCCTGTCTCCTTGCTAGTCTGCACCTCTTTCTCCTCTCCATTCAGCCCCCTTCCTCACCTCTACTGTTTCCTTGAGTTTTCGCACTTGTTAGCTAGACCTTTTAATCTCCAGATTGCTGGACTTGTCCTACATTTTGTACTGCTTATGTTTGCATTTCCTCTTCTTCCCCATGACATTTCAGAGAAAAATCTGTTTAGTTTCTCTCTTAAGAAAAGGCAGCTTATTTCATACACTATCAACAAGCAAATTGGATGGAAATAGCTCTTGTGAAATGAGGCAAAACATGCAAAGCGGACAACCTTCAAGTTGGTGTGTTACAGTTGATATAAAAATACACCTTCCTTCCTTCCTTCTGCTGCCACACCTACAGAAAGCTACCAGGGTCAGTCAGGCTTGTCCTATAACTCTTCACCTTTCCTCTGCCTTGTACTCTGACATTTCATGTGTGGATCCCTCACAAGATGGAGGAGAAAATGTGTCATAGGGCAGTCTTCTACCTTATTACATCTGCAGTCATCTTTGTAATTATACTTCTTGTCAGCTTTTCTGATTTTATTATAATGCTTCTTTGGGCCAATAGGCCTGCAGAGACTCTCCAGGCAGTGAGATGTCTTCTGGGCACATGTTTAAGTGTGTGAATCTGAAAGCACTGTATACATGATGCAGCTAGACAACATAATGGAAATAGAAATCAGGTATCAAAAGATCATCTTCATCTTTGCCTTCCCTAAGCATCCAGCACTTCTAGCACTTGTCTCTGAACTTACAGTCTCTGAAGGATACACTGCTTTTACAGTGACAGTGAAACAGATCTCTTCTGTTATGGAGATGGCCAGTTTAAGCTTCTAGTAGGTGAGGCCTCCTAAGATAAGGAGAGTGTTTATTATGTTCTTAGCATTAATGCAAAGCAATCTGAGCAAATCACTCTCTTTCTTGAGAAAATGAACAGCTGCTGCTGAAAATTCTATTGCCAAGTTCTTTTCTAGCACAATTTGCATTATTGTTAGTAAACCCACCTAGGTGATCAAATACCCAAGATAACATAGCAGATTGGAATTCGTCCCTGTTTAGGCTGAGAGGCCAGAGGGGAAGGAGGGAAATGTGGGGTCTGCCAGGAATCCCATGCCTCTGGGGGAACCCACCCTGATGCTTTCAGTATTCTCCATGGGGCCTGAAAATCTTGTAACACATGGTGAAAACATCCTTTTAATAGTGGCAACCCTAAGTGTCACAATCATGCTAGTGGTTACCAGGGCAACTGAGGGCTTTTTATTAATTGACCCCTAGATATGAAATGGGGCGATTTCCAGCAGCTCCTGTTATGTATGCTGTCCTCTGCCACGCCACTTTTGAAAGCCTAATGTGAGACAGTGCCACAGAAGATGCTGAAGTACCTGCCACAGGCTCCATGCAGAACAAGGGGCAATACTTTTGCATGTGGAGACTATGTCTCTCAATAATAGAAAAGGTATGGTTTATTTTGCCTGGATGTTCTCTGTCTCAAGGCAGTTCTTTTAATGCAACTATGTCTCAGTTTGGTATAGTGTATACGGGCCAATATCTCCAAGCAGTCTGGAGATGCCACATAGTTTTTGAAAGGACTGACCACATGTTCTGAGGCATAAGTATCTGACATTTGCCAAAGACAGTCTGACCAAGTATAAGGATCAAGGAGTTTTTTACAAAATAAATCCTAAAAAAACCAGATCTCTTAGAACAAGGATGCTCTGGAAATATATTTATCCTGTGACCAGTTGAGCAGCTGACAAATTGGAAAAAAGTCAGGAAGGAGCATGAGAAATATCACTTGGAAGAAACAGATAAGAAATCAGTGACTGGAAGAAAATGAATTGTTCCCTGTGGCTTCAATACCTCATTGCAACAAATAGGGTAAATGTTTGCAATAAAAGAAACATCTGCTTCCCTTCCTTAGTTTGCAAAATGGTAATTTCCAAGCCAAGAGGAGAGGGGGTGTCAACTTTTCAATGGAGATGGCTTCTGCAACTCAAATGGTCATGCTGGTTCTGCAGTGAATATAGAAAGCTTCAAATGCTTTCTTGCAAATGCCTCTGCATGAAGGAAAGCAAGTATCACAGACACTGATGTAAGAGAGGAGAGAGCCTCTTCTGCTGGCAAATGAGAAAGGTTGTAAATTAGCAAAGCAGTAAAGACTCAGCTGAGTCTATTGCAAATCTTCTCTCCCCAAGTTTCTGTCTTCTGTGATTAAGAGCAGAAAAAGCTGCTTTTCAACTGTTCTGGCTGAGAATTAACTGCAGCCAGGCTTCCCTTTCCCCGTTCTGTAGCAGAACTTGAATTCATGGATTGTACTGAACGTCTGTGCTCTGTCTGCAGTGGTGCCTATTAGCACTTGATAAAAACTTCTTTTAAATACTTGGAAGACTGCTCTTGAGACAGAAAAATCTGTGGATGACATGATAATAGAATGTTTATGTTTTGCACAATGTTATATATTTGATGTTCTACTCTAAATGGCTAGAAATTATGTCTAGTCCATATGTGCTTCAAAAGTAGCTTGTCTCTGCTCTGCGCATATGCAGTATAGCATAATTTTGTTCCAGTAGGAACTGCTTCTCTTTGTGAAAGCAGAAATAGCAGAAAGCAAGCATGCTTAGTATACATGTGCAAGATCTGAATGAACCCAAAAAAACCAGGTTTATTGAGAAATATATACAAAAATTTGAATCTAGCCAACAAAATTGCCATTGATTTGCTGTATGTGGGTAAAAGATATGGAATAATAAGATAAAAATAGAATTAATAGTACTCTATTATTGCTTGCATACTACTTAGAGTAGTTTAGTGTGTGATAACAGTATTGAACTGTTTGCACAGTTTCTTTTTTAATTTTCTAAAATTTAATAACTGAATAACATTTTTTGTATTTGTTTGGAAAACTGCACAGTGGGGCAATTGTCTACATTAGCCCTGATAATGCACTCTTGCAGTAATTTATTTTTGGCAAAAAAATCATTCAGTGGTATGCATGTCTTTTATTAGAGAAAAAAAAAAAAGAAAAAGAAAATAACCTCTCACGTATTCCTGTTCTCGTTTTCTCAAGAGAGTTTGCTCAGAGATTTTCTGAGCCGGCAGGGTGCTGGATCCAGTGAGAATTGTGGCAGTTCAGCACCTGTGAGAGCTAGCCTTTGGTAGCTTCTCTAATTGCAGCACTTTTTGTCTCTGTAGGTGATCGGACGACATATGCTGAGGTGAAAGTGAAATGGAAATCTGATACATCTGACAGTACACACAAGACTACACATAAAGGTATTGTAATATCTCTGGAAACTTTTAACTTTCTTATAATATTTTATCCTCTTTGTATACCATCATAATTATCTATTTATATATAATGGAAGAGGTGCTTATGGCCAGGTGCACAAAGAGATGGAGATATGTTTTAGGAAAATTAAAATATCTTCAAAACCTTTCCTAGTTACTGATTATCCCTGAGGTGCCTGGAGCCTGCTGGTGATGGTGTTTTCAGAGTTAGCAGGTATAGTTAGATGCTCTGAGGTTTTCATTAGGCTGAATGTTTTGTCCCTCACCAACAGATCAGCCTGCCAAGGTTCACAGCATCAGCACTGCCTGCCTTAGCTTGCCTTCAGGGCTCAGCTGAGGGGCCTTTGGGTCATGTCTGTGCTGTTTGTATGGATTGCACCTTGGGGTAAATGATGGCCCTAAGCCAGTTGATGCAGACTGGTTTATGTCCATGATGGTCAGTGCCAGCAAACCCTGGAACAAACTGGCTGCATCTGCATGTACAGCCCTTGGCCTCTTATTTTCTCTGGGCTCCTTGAGACTTTTTGGTTGCGGCTTTGTGGTACAGAAATGTCTGAAAGTACAGGACTGTGTTACACCTTACCAAAGTAGCTTTCTTACAGCATGGCACAGAAGACATTACACTATGCTGTTAGGAACATAAAAAAAAGTGTGTGGGACCATGGGAGTGTCCATCTGGGATAATGCTGGAGGCTTTTTCTGGACAGAAGGAGTCAAATTTGCTACCACCCGTGTCTGCACCATTTGAAGGGAACAGTTCTGTGAAATATGACCCAGTTTCTTCTGGGAAGGAACAATTAGTCCATCCCAGAAGGACCCCTGGGGAAACGCATATGCATGGTGTATGCAGTGTGGCCCACTGGAGGACCAGGATCTGAAGGAAAATGAGGCAAACTGCCAATCCATGTCTCTAGTGGGTAGATCTGCACAAAACACAGTAACTCCCCTCCTGTCAGCAGCCAAATAGAGAGCCCACTTTTCCAGGGTAGAGGAGAGTTTTACTTTCCTTCTTTTCTGCAGATGATTCTGATCCACTTCTCCCTGCTCCCCCTCCTGAGGGGATGCTTAGAACACACAGTTAAAATTTATTTTGCAGTGGAGGCACTTCGAAACTCTTATGTTACTTTTAGTAACAATTTCCTTGTATTGTTTTCCAATTCCAAATGCATTTTAAGTGAATGAACAGGTCAACAATAGCATTCAAAGCACATAAAATGAGTTGTTTTTATAAAGTGATAGCTAGGGAGCAAAAATTAGGTTTGAAGAATTAACTTGTGTTACTCAGGTACTTGTGCCTCATCTTTTTCTAAAACAAATATTTTAAAATATATTAAGCTATTTTTTTTCAAAAAGTATAACCAGCTTTGAAAGTAAATTTAAATTTGCAAAGTGAAATAATATATTGGATATGAGTTTTAACTCTCATGTACCTCTATGAGTGAAAATGAAGAAGAGGAAATAAAGTATAAAATTCTATAAACACTTCATGCAATGCAGAAAAGCTCTTGAGATATTTTTAGAAAAAAATGTTAGCTGCAGGAAATGCTAAGTGAGAACAAATACTGTTTCCATTGTTGGGTTAATTTTGCCTTACCACAAGAGAAACCAAAATTTTCAGATGATGTTTCTGATTAAATATGACACAGTCAGGCTGAAAAGAGTGGACTAAATGCAATCTCAATTCTGCTGTTATAAAGGTAAAAACAGTCTACTGATTTCATTTAAATTCCCTCTGACTGGGAATTGGGATTGGTCGGCAACATGAAAAGTCTTGTCAGTAATGCAATGTATGGTTTTGATATACCATTATTAGCCCTCCTGTATGTTGACTGCCTTTTTATACTTTAGTCCCCTCTTCACTCCTTCCTTTCTCTGATTCTGCCTATACTATCCATATTTTGAGGTTTTCAGAATTTTGTTCTAAGAATACCAAAATCCAGGCAAAATGTTATAGGTGACCTCTATCCTTTCATGTTCTTCACTGAAACATATTTAAAAAACACAGAAGGCAGATGCTTGTTCTAATTCTCTTTTAGATTTTTTTTTTAATCATAAATATCAGGCTAGAAAGTGTGAAGGAATGGTGTTGAAAGAACACACACACACACACACACACACACACACACACACACACACACACACATCTTTGGATTTCACTTAAAGCAGAAATTGACAGAGGCATAGATTTAACAACTTAAACATGCATTTCTTTGTTGTGCTTAAAAAGGATTATAAGAGCCTAACTGGAAAAACAGTCTGTAGAAATTCCAAATTACCTATGAAAACTTTTTTTTTAAGTCTAAACATGGACTTTGAGATTTCTTTGTGGGTCTTCAGTTGTGTATCTTCAAAGTAACAACCCATGACAGCATGACCCCTATATACCATTCTTCAAGAGGAGTTCAGGAGCAGGATTGTAGGGGCTATTCCAGAACAAAATGAGAAGTGTTGGCAAAGTTGTGCACAGCCTCAAAAAGTGAGAAATCACACTTTTAGACCCTGTCTCAACAGCTATGATGATAGAACTAGAACTGGTCAGAAGATGTGTTCTTCTGATCATGAAAATTTGAATTACATACACATATATATAAAGTGGGCTTGATTTTCACTTAATAAAATGCTAGGACCCAGTGTTTTCCAGTTTTCAAGCTCTTGGTTCTTGATTAGGAAAACAATTTCCAAAGGAAGATTTAGTTTCTAGCAGCCGAGTTAGCCAAAAAAGAAACAGTATGTTTTCGGTTGAATCTTCAGCACACTGAGGATTTCCTCATGAACTTCTCTTCACTCTGCATGAGTACTAGATCTATAGCATATATGGTAACACATTCCTGTTGAGGCCTTAGCTAGAATGATTTAGTATACCAGATAGAAGGGTGGTTTTCCTGGAAATAAAACACAACTCAGAATAAAAGTTCACTTGCTTTTGTCTGTTTTGAAACCCCTCTTCCTTTTCTCTTTGGTAGTGGTCTGCTCTGAGAATTCACACTGGTGTTATGTTGCTATCACCCTGTACTTCATTGCAGTGATTCTGCTCATCACTGTGATCCTCTTAGCTGTGAAATGTCATCATCTCTGAGGTGGATGGTGCAGTCCAACTAACATACAGGGTAAACCATTTTTTTCCATATTTATGTTTCCATTCAACATTTATAAGAAAGGGTAAAGGAAGTGTCTGAGGCCAAACGTTAAAATGCCTGTCCCTGTCATAAATTCAACCAGCCAGCAATTCACAGTCACATCAGATAACATCTAGCTCTCTGTTGATGATGCATACTGTACATAATTAAGCACATTTTAATATCCAACAGCTTTGGTGAACTGCCAGTCACACCAAATATTGGATTCTGCTTCTTTTACTCTGAGACTAGGAAAAATTAATAACTTAATTTTAGGTGCTTCCCAGCCATGTTGTGAAATAACCCTACCAGCCTTCCATAAAATGAAACAAAAATATGGCTGAGTGCAGCTGGAGGTGATTTCCATAACTATTGTCAAGATCAGGATTAATGGTGTCCTGGTGAACTGACACTAGGCAAACAAATCGCATTGATCAGTTTGGGATTTAAAGGAAAGCAGGAGAAAAATTGCCTGGTTCTGACCAGGAATGACAGTGGGCAACCCTCTTCCCTTCCACATCTAGTGCCAGCAGAGCCCTTTGTGGGCAGCTTCAGAAAGGTAATGCCAGCTTCTTGATAATGTCTTTCAGGGTAGTTGGGATTTGTGGGGAGAAGAAAAAAAATGCTGTATCTGTGTCTGTGACTGTCTCATGCTGGAGCATTTTGGGAATCACCAGACAGTGCTGGCCATTTTCAAAGGATAATGTATGCAATGTACACCCTGTATGAAGACAGAGATTCATTTCTTGCAGAGCAACAGAGTTCGTTTAATTATTTCCCAGGCTTGCTCTCCCTGGCAGCTGCCCCTTGCCATGCTGAAGACACCACAGCAGATCCTGTGTCAAACCAATGTCCAGTCTCTGAGAGGCAAGGGCAAATCACAGCAGGAGGGCAGCAGCTCACGATTCATACTTGCACCAGCACACCTCATCATGGTATATTATGCCATGGGCCTCATGGCACACAGCTGCCCTCCCTTTGCTTCAGAGGACACTCACAGCATGTTGAATTTCAAAACGATATTCAACTTCTACTAGCTTCTATCTTTTTTATTTCCAGATAAGTCAGCTTGGGAAGGCTCTGCTTCTTCAGCAAAACATGGTATAATACTTGTTTACTTTCTTATTTTCTCTGAAGAGACTTTTATGAAAGAAGATGTGCTGTCAGTCTGACCATGCTTCAGTTACTTCTATCAGGAGTTTCATGAAACTTTCAACCTTCCTTTTTATGGATAAAATATATCTTACTCCTTGTATTTTGAATTTGATTAGTCCCATATAACCAGCACAATTTGATACCATTGGTATCAAATGATACCAATGCTTGTGACATGGTCTCAAGGCATGGTCTCAAGTTGCTGAATTAAAAGTTGGATTTGAGGCTTGTCTAGACAGAGCAAATGACCCAATGGGCCAATTTGAGACATCACTTGCAATTCACACCTGACCTGATTTTGCAAAAATTTGCCAGGTACACAAATTTTTAGATTTCAATATGCTCAAGTGCAAAAATGCACGGATAAAACAGGGAATGGGAAAGGTTGCACTGGACATTTTTAATGACACCTTGATCTAGATGTGAGTTTTCCTATCCTGACAGCCTTTGGTGGGATTTGTATGAAAGAGGGATATTGAGGGCACAATAAAACGGTATTAGATTAGTAGAGAAGTCTCAGTCTTGTTCCTCCATTAGCCTGAACAAAAATATTCTATTCTACTTGTCCAGAACAGTATCTCACAGAGCCATAATGTGGTGTTTATGTCTTGGGGCAGTAATTCAGTCTGTGCTATCTTACATTTCCACATGGTATAGCTTCAGTTAAATTGGACTCCTCCGTCAGAACCTCAGGTTCAAATGCATTTGATCTTAGTTATTATTTTGGTGTCTGATTTTATATGGTTTTGATGTCTCATCAGTTAGAGTGTAACTCCTTTGGGGCAGGCTGATATCAGTGATTTGCAGTGCTTGAGTAGATCTATATAGAGAATATTTCTTAAAACTGTTCCCTGTATTTAAGCTTATTTGTACTTAAGCCATGTTGTTGTTGCTGTTAATAATGTACCACATTGTTTATAGTACATGCACCAGATATCAATAAAGAGATTTATTAATGCGCTTGAGATGCTGGTGCTTGTTCTTATGTTAGTGAAACTAGAAGAAAAATAACGTTTAGTACTCGTATGACTGTAGCACCTCTGAGCTGTTGTCATGAAGTAAGATGCTGCTCTGGTAAGTACTATCTAAGGACAGAATCCCTGCCCTGCAGAGCTGAGCACCAAAGGAATAATAGAAGAAAATGGTTACATTTTTCTTGAGACGCAGGATAAATCCCAGCTTGTCAAATAGCAGTGGAGAAATAAATGCTTAAAAACAGAGATAAAAGAAGAGGTGGCAGGAGAGAGTTTGACCTGAAATGGACCTGCATGTGTTGTCTCTCACTACACTGATCTGTTTTCAACCTGAAGATTCTAGAGATAGTAGCCTTTCACATTATACTCTCAAACAATCCTTACAACTAAACGAAATTGCTCGTCTAAATTAATTAGCTCCAGCTTTCTTTAAAAGCAAGAAAAATGCCACTCTCTGGGAGATAAAGTGATGTGGTTTTATATTTAATTTCTTCAGTAACAGCAGACACAAAAAGCAACGTGCAGCAACAGCAATCATAGTTATTAGTTCCTACCACCTCTACCACATAGAAAGTTACTGTTTCAGAACAAGGCAGCTTCCAAAGGAACAGACTGCACATCCATCCAGATGCTACGTATGTGAATACAGAAAAGGGAAAGGCATTTCATGACCAATTAGAAATCATCACAGACTACATACCAGCCAGACACTCAAGCAGATACCAGGTTTCCAGTTGCTGCAAACAGATCTTTGGAAATTTCAGTGGTGGTCCTAGCATCCATCTGAAAGGTAACCATGAGCAATGTGTAGACAACTGGATAAAAAGTGTGCATGTACTGCTCAGTAATTCTGAAGGGGGGGAAACTATTTTGATTAAAATGAGAAATTGTTAATTTTTAAAAATTCAAATGATTGTTTCGCTAGTTACCAAGAAATTGGCACACTGGCCTGTGGTTTTGGCAAAAAGCACACTACAGCATTCAAGGCAAGTTTAAAAATCTTCAATCGGGTTTTCATGCTCAGCAGGCAGAAAATATAATTGTGTTCACTGAATTTGTGGGAGTTTCTCAATGTTTATGACCTATTTAGTGTCTTTGAAATGCTGACAGGAAATCTTTCCCTTCTGATGGTTCTCCACAGACAGAAATCTCTGGAGGACAGATGGGCAGGTGTGTAAGTAAGCTCTTTTGGTTCCCTGATCAGCTCTTTGGTTATTTCTTGGCTGTTGTAGCCATATAGCTGATCAGCTCTATGCTTCATCCTTCTTTGACTCAGTTTAAGAGGAAAATGGACTGTCTGTTACTGAATTGTTGAAACAAGGCTGCCTGGTCATTCTTTCTGGGGAAGAAAAAAGGTTATTCAATACTAAAGCTTGAATCCCAGGTATGAGGAGAATTTTATAAATAGAGAAAAACAGAAAGAAACTTAGCAAAACAAAAAGGTGATTGTGCACTAGGCAGCAGTTGACAAGAAGCTCATGGTTCTGTTACCGACCTTAGCTTCCAGACCTTCAGCCTGCAATGTGGCTGACCTAGTGCTTGATATTTGGCAAGTGACTTCACCATTCCAAGCCTCAGTTTCCTCACATGCCATAACAGCATACCAGCAAGCTTAATCCTTCAGGGAACAAGCTCCTGAGACATTTGAATGAAAGGTGCATAAGGAATATAACACATTTAAAGGACAAATCAACTGAGAATGGAATGGCCTCAAGAAAGGAAAGGGTTCCCCTAACCACTGATGGACATTACACATGACATATAAAAATCACAGGGCGACAGCAAGGCAAAGCTGGCACCAAGGAGCTGTCTCTCCTTTGTTTCTTGTCCCTTTCCTTTTGCTTGGAGCTTCCTGATTCCTTATATTGCGCTCTCTTTTCTCTGGCTTCAGGCACAGCCTGAAGTTAGGAGTGGCACTCCTTCCTGCTGTTCTGGCTTGGCCTTTTTTTCTACCCTTTAACTCATTCTCCCAGCCTTTGCTGATAAGCACCACCCCTTTTATTTGTGGACATAGCAATGAAGGTGTGAAGACCAAGGGAGATAATTAAAAGAATGCAAACAAACCATTGAAAGGATGGCCCTGATTAACTAGCACAGGCTAGAACAAACATTTTAGGACCTTGATATTAAAATGTTAAAAGAACAACAAAAATCCTAAATTAGGGCTAACTTCAAATCACTTTTTTTGGCAATTCAGCACACTATTTAAAGGCATCAGGGTGGTAATAGGAGGGACAGGAGTCCATACGAAGAAAGAGGTAGTTCGTTTTTGTAACCCTGAGCATCTTGTTCCCTAGATAGCCAAATTCTACTCTACCAGAATACTCAGTATTCACACTACCTAGCAATTCTCATCATGGCATCAGAGGACAGTTTCTGAGAGAAACTGTAAAAAAGTCTACTCATGTGGAAAGACACAGAGTGCTGTTCTGGCTAATACCAGGCATCAAGTCACCAGTGTGAGATGTGAAAAGTTGGTTAGAAAAAGCTCTCTACTTGCCTGCCTAGAAAATCATCCCAGAGCAGAGTCAAGCCTACAGGTAGGAGCAGTGGAAGACCAGATCTCAGCTGTGTCTTGCCTCCATGCAGGGAGGAGACAGGAGACAGCTGTGTATCCTTCCCCTGGAGGCTTGGGCAGGGAGAGAGCCAAAGTGCATTCCAGCACGTCTTCCAGTGGAAGTGCTTGGGAGATCAGTGATCTGGTTAGGATCTGAGCCACGAACATGAGGGAACTTCTGCGAACTGTACTGTTCATCATTTAGCTCGCTGTAGGGCATCAGACATCTCTGTAGGCAAATCAGACATGGGCATTTACTATGCAAAGGCTAGGGTCATCTTAGCCATGGGGAAGAGGCTGGTGAGGGTGAATCCCAGAATGACTTTGCTCTCCTGCCTGCACTTAAGCTGTAGCAGCCCGCTGTGCATCACACACTCAGATGAGCAGCTGGAGCTGCAAGAGCGTCAGCAGAAAGCTCTCTGGTGTTTCAGAACTGAATCTGCTGTATTAATCTAGCCTAAATGTCTGGTCGCCTCTTCCATGAAATATGTTAGCCTGTATTCACTAGTGCTGCTTCAAACATAGAGAAGTGGAATAGGATCCTCATTCAGAGGATGAGGTACAAGCTGAAGACAACTATACCAGTATCAGGAGGAGAGAGCTGCCTCTCTCAGGGGGGTCGACACAGGTATTTATCTTCTGTTTGCAATCACATGTATGTCACAGATGTGCCATTCCACAAGGAGCCAAAGATTCCATCACTTCTTGGACTTCAAGTGTCTTTCAAAGGTAAAATTCATACAGCTCCTTCTAGATGACAGGATATACTGTTTTGTGATCACATAGATGGCGTAGCCCGCTGCCTTTGGCATAAATCACCTAACCAGCTACCTACATAGCTAGACTCTCCAGTCAGGTATGTAACCTTGCTATGAGGTGGGAGACTTGAATAGTTCATTCTGAAATTTATTTTTTGTCATAGGAAAATTCACTAAGGAGGATGTTCCTCTAATGTAGCCAGAGCTCTTCCTCTCTCCTGTCTGCCCTGGGGGCTTCTTTCAAGAGAGCAATAATGCCAGAAAAGGCGGTGATACTGCTGGTTTTGCTTATGACTTCCCTGATATAAACACAAGGTAACCTGAGCATATTTTGAAGTGCATTGGTATTTAGGGGAAAGATTTAGTCTAGGACATTTTTTAATTCAAACTTGCAATGAAAGTCTTGTCTGCGTTCCTGAAGCAGCAAACTCAGCCACTGCAATATCGTTGTTACTTATTAGCATGTAGCAAGCTGTTCTCAGTGATGTTCAAGAATCACAAATGAAAGCACAAAAGTTCCCTGTCTTTGAGATGCCCTCGTCATCATACTTGGGTTTTACTTCTGAATGAGCTGCTAGCATTAAAAATTATAAAAGTCTGAAAATATATCTAGCTCTGTTTTGTTTCTTGCAAGTTCTGGTGAGGCTCAGTAACCCTCTGCCCGTGTTGAACAGAAACCGACCTCTGTCCCCAGAGCTCTAGATAGCTTTTGGGCCCTGAAATCAGAGGAAATTTTGTGAGCTGTGTCAGTCACTATGACAGTTCTGGTCCATTCGGAATGCCTGCCTTTGTTTTTACAGGGGACTAGCTGAGGACCAGCCTCGTTGGTGTACACGTCCTTTAACATTTTTTTAGTCCATTTGATTTTTTCCATTCAGACATCAGCTGAAAACTATTCCTGTATCTGGGGGTGCAAGTTCAAGATGATCCTCCTTTGTCCAGGAAAACATCAACTGTCTTGTATGTTACTATAATCCTCAGAAGATGGAGAGGGGGACAATTTGCTAATGTTTTTAAGCTCTAATTTTTCCAAACATGTTTTTGACACAAAGATGAGGGAAACCAACATATATGCATCAATGTTTATGTTTTCTTTCATTTCTCCAGGGGGATCTGGTGGATTTGAATCTGGAAAACTAAGTGGGGAACTTAATGGAGACCCAAGAGGGGACCGTACTATACAAACAAACATAAAATTGGGCTGGGATCCCAGGGGGCAACCACATAGTAAGTTGATCCTGCTTCTTCCAATTGTTTTAACATAATTTTTCTCTACTTATCTAGCAAAAGATAGAGAGGGCCAAAATATACTGTGCTCAAAATTTTTTCCCCAGTAGTCATCATAGGCTAAATATTTATCACCCATTAACAGATTTGGACTTTAGCAAAAGACTAGGTGGGTGGTTGCCAGTCACTCATCAGCCAGGTGCATCCTATCCCAGAGGTCTGCTAAAGGATTAAGATAAACTTATGCAGGAAACAGGAACTGTGCTTTTGAGAATTCCATGATTATAGTCTTTAATTTTGCTTCAAGTGAGCACGAAACACTGAATGATGACATTTTATGTCAAAAAGCATTTGGGGAAAAAATGTTTTGGGGTTCACCAAAATATTTACTCTCATTAAAAATTAAAATAACTTATTTTAACTTGTTTCTGTTTTTATTTTCATTTCTCTACCAGAATACTGAAAGGCAAGACTAGGTTGGAAGGACCCTGTAAGAATATCCAAGAGACATCCAACTTCTGTGTAGTAAAGGGAGGTCTGCCTGAATGTACACCACAAGCAGCATGAGTTCTGTAGTGCTTTAGATTTTTCTGCATCAAAAAAAACCATTTTGAAATTAAAATATGAAACTCTTTTTGTAAAATTAAGATATCATATGGATTTTGTTCTTTCTGAATTAATAATTTTCTGATGTGGGTTTTGTTAGCTTCTTTTGATCAATCAGTTTTGATTTGATCAAACATACAGAAATTTGATCAAACATACAGAAAAATGTTCCATTTGAAAATGTCTGACCAGCAGTACCTAGAAGAACTCCATTACACAGGTTATACTTTAGTAAAATAATAACATGTTTCTATAAGTAATTCCCGAGTTCAGCATCTGTTTTTGTTTTTTGCAGGTGCATTCGGCATCTCTGAAGAAAATAGATGAAGTGAATCTAATACCAATATGTGAATTCTTGGCATGTTGCTCTTCTCCAAAAAAATCACAGCCTGACCATTTCTACTCTTGATAGCTGCGCTCCTTATATTAAATGGAGCTGCTCTGGAAGGCACTTTATTGCTTTGAACCTTTTCAGTAGTGCAGAAAGACAGTAAGAGTTGGAATCTGCTTCTACCTGAAACAAATTGGATGGGTCCGCTGAGAGGCAACGTACAATTATTAAAGCTGTATCCCAAGATTGTCCATGGTACTGAGCATGCTCCAAAGTAAGTTCTATATGTGAATGATGTAACAGCCAGAACACACATTAAAAGTCAGTAGGAAATTAAAGCATTTACTGAGGCCTTCCATTTTTGAGAGAGCACACATCTAATTCTTCTCCAACCTCTTTCACTTCCTGGCATGAAAAGTACCAAAAAATAGATAATTAATTTTACAATTTAAGAATGAAGCAATGCTGTTACCAGGAATCTCACAGGAGTTCCTGAACACTTTGTATTTCTGAACATGACTAATGGCGGACTAAATCTTTCGGAAATGTTTGTCCTCAAAGTCCATTTCAGAGCCTTATATATCTGACCGGCAGGATTATTTTTCCTCTTGCACTTTGGAGGAATCCCATGGGTTAGGACCCTAGAAGGAAGCGGAGTCCAGGAGAGCTGGTTAATATTCAAGCATCACCCTCCTCCAGGCTCAAAATGGGTCCATCCCTCTGAGTAAGAAGTCCGGCAAAGTGGGCAGGAGACCTGCATGGATGAGCAAGGAGCTCCTGGCAAAACTCCAACAGAAGAAGGAAGTGTACAGAATGTGGAAAAGGGGACAGGCCACTTGGGAGGAATATAGGAATATATTGTCAGAGTGTGCAGGGCTGCGACAAGGAAGGCTAAGGCCCATTTGGAATAAATCTGGCAAGGGATGTCAAGGACAACAAGAAGGGCCTCTTCAAATACATCAGTAGCAAAAGGAAGACTAGGGAAAACGTGGGTCCGCTGCTGAGTGGGGCGGGTGCCCTGGTAGCGAAGGATATAGAGAAGGCGGAGTTATTGAATGCCTTCTTTGCCTCAGTCTTCACTGCTAAGGCCAGTCCTCAGGAATTTCAGACCCTGGGGACAAGAGAGGAAGGCTGGAGAAAGGAAGACTCTCCCTTGGTGGAGGAGGATCGGATTAGAGATCTTTTGTCCAAACTTGACATCCACAAACCCATGGTCCCTGACAGGATGCACCCACAGGTGCTGAGGGAGCTGGCAGATGTTATTGCTAGGCCACTCTCCATCATCTTGGAAAGGTCCTGGAGATCAGAAGAGGTGCCTGAGGACTGGAAGAAAGCCAATGTCACCGCCTTCTTCCAAAAGGGCAAGAAGGAGGAGCCAGGAAACTACAGGCCTGTCAGCCTCCCCTCCATCCCTGGCAAGGTGATGGAACAGCTCCTCCTGGAGGTCCTCCCTAAGCATGTGGAGGACAAGAAGGTGATCAGGAGTAGTCAGCATGGATTCACCCAAGGGAAATCATGCTTGACCAGTCTGATAGCCTTCTATGATGGGATGACTGGCTGGGTAGATGAGGGCAGAGCAGTGGATGTTGTCTCTCTTGAAATACCACCTTTTATGTCTTTTTTTTTTCTTGAATTAGTATTCTTACATGTATTCATTCTAATCAAATATATTTATAAGCTAATTTCAGTCTGTGCTTTAATTATGAACTCTTAGATCTTCCTTCATAACAACGGGCAAACTGCTCCACAGCCTTTTATCTAGACCCCATTTAACTTGAAGGCAAATTACAGACCTTTTGCTTACAGGATCAGGCCCCAGGCTTACTCAATACTGCTTGAATAGAAAGTCAGCTCACAAATAACAAAATATAGGCCCTAAAATTGAAATGGTGAAACACCCTAACATGCAACAGAAGATGGCAAGAAACACAGTTGAAACAGAAACCCTCTTCAAAACAATCCAGCAATTTTTTTACCCTTTTGGAAAAAATGACTGACAACAAGCAGCAGCTTTTCCCAATGGTCTGGCAAGCCTCTGCTTTCAGACAGGCAAGTCCTGAATAATTTGTAGCTCTTAGCCCTGAAGTCAGAGGATATCTGGCTGCACATTCTCTCCTTTGTCACCATTTCCCTTTTTTAGGAAATGCATATGACTCAATAAATCACATTACAAAAATATACAAGGAAACATGAGATTTGTCCTGAGGATCCAGGGCGCTTCATAGTCCCCTGGATTCTCATTGGAGTCTCTGTCAGAACACTTTTCATCTCTTCTTGCATCTTATTTTAAATCTTAGTGGTAACTTGGGTTGAGATAGTCCTACAGCACCAAAAAAGGTAAAGTCCTGTATAACTGTATGAAATGTGATGCGGTTAAGCTGGGGGTAATAAAGGGGGAGTACAACATGCCTATCAAAAATATAAAGATGCTGTGAATGCTAAAATGAGACACTTCCTCTTTGAACTCAAAAGCGTGATTGGTGTTTTGCCAGATTACAACTTGTGGCAAAGGTGGGCCTATAAACACAGGTCATATTGCATCCCAGTCCTGCAGCAGAAAGGGGTGGAATTCATACATGGTGAACTGCCTGATGTAATCTGCAGGACCACCAGCCGTATAATCTCCTTCGTCAGGTTTTGTGTAGAAGCCAGTTTGTGGCGTGTCTGTCTTACAGCTCTTGCTACTTACCGTCTTTTTATTTCAGACTTACCCTAGTCCTGCTCTCTTCAGAATAAAGATATAGTCCATAAAGCCAAAAATTAGTCCAGGACACAGGTAAAAGCATGAGACCAGAGGTTTAACAAGTAGAAGAAAACAAAACATTGGGAATGTCAGATGTGCAGGAGAAGAAATTGCAACATAAGGATAACATGAAGTTATCTGTAAAGTGTCAGAACCACAGGGGGCCAGTGACATTACATCCCCGGCAACAAGTAGGGCAAGTAGAAGGTATGCAATTGACAAACAAGGTAGCGAGACATAATTAATCAAGAAGTGATTTCAGTGAGGGAGGACACCGGTGGTTAAAAAACTTGTTTACACTTTAATCCTCTGTTTGCAACTCCCTCTTTTTCTCTGTAAAGAAAATTCCTTTCTTTTTTGACTGTTTTCTCCCTGGGGCCCATTAACAGATCTGTATCAGTTCCATAAAAGAAGAGCTGGGGGGTCTAGTGACTGCATTTCAGTTCGGAGTCACTACTAGAAACACCGGTTTGTTACCTTTTAATTCTCCATACTGGCTGCGGCCTGTGCCCCCTCACAGACAGCTGGTGCTGAGCCCCACCATGGAATCACAGGTGTTTGCATGGCATTTATCAGATTCAGGTCTGAGGAGTGCTTCTTCTGCAGATACTGCTGTTTACTAGCGTCTCCTTATTTTGGATTTCCATCAAATCTCTTTAGAGTTTCTGTGTGGTTAATCCACCTTCTGGGTTTTGAGGGTTTGTTTCTTTTCCTCGGGGTTGAGAAAGCAAGTGTTTTAGCCTGTTCCAGGCTGAGAAGAGACACTTTTGAGTAAGCAGAGAAACTGAGGCCAGGCTTTAGCGTCAGAGTAAATTTGCCCTGAGGTCTTTTAGCACTGCATCAAAATAATCCTACCTTGTGCTGTTTGAAATCTGTTAAAAATGTTAAAGGCTCAACTTTGTACTATTGGATTTGATGCCTGCCCCTGCAGGGCCCAGGTCCAGTATTAATGACCACGGAATTATAACACCACCCTGTCTAGACCTGGAAAAGTTGTTTGTTTAATATCTAGCCTTTAATTCATACATTTTAATCACCACGTGTCTCCTACAAAGTCAGTCATGTTTAAAAGCACGTTATGCTGTTAATTAAGATAAGTCACTTCATGATTTCAAATAGTTTGTTTTCCCTAGGCAGACAGTCAGCTCCTTCATGACAAGGACAATTAAAAGCTGGCTTTCTGAGGGTGATCACCTGTGTAGACTCATGGAGGTCTAACAGGGGTCTGTCTACGCTACAGCAGATGGCTGAAGATGTTCACAGTTCTGGAAAGCAGCCCTTGCAATCCTCCTCCTTATGGGCAATCCTGCCAGTTGCAACGGGGCTGCTCACAAAAGCAGTGCTAAAAGGATCACATCTAGACGATGTGAATTTATACAATTTCTTAAGTGGAAGTTTGGAAGCGCAGTATGATGCAAGCGGCGGTTATAAGGGAACATGCTAAATTCTGTTACAGCTGCTTACAGCTTTCAAAAAAATGCCCAAACTTTCCAGGCTCCTGGCCCCTTCCAGGCCTGCAGCAAAGCTGGAAACGTCAACGCCAAGTATAAGCCAAGAGCATCTCCTCCATTACCTGAAAGAGTTATCAGTCACCCCAGAGGAAAGCAGGGCAGCAAGCACTCATCTGGGTACCCCTGGGCAGAGCCCTCCTCTCCCATCCCTTCCATCCCCCGCCAGGAGCCCTGGCACTGCCATTTCGGAAGGGCCCAGGCCCCCCTGTGCAGTGGGCGGGGAAGGACCGGGAAGGAGACGCGGTGGCGGAGGGCCTTGCTCTGCCCTCGGGCTGAGCCTTTGCGAGCCAGAGCACGGGGACAGGCAAGAATTCCCTCTCCTGCCACCACCATAAAATGCAGGAATGTGTTTCTGGATGGCTGTGGGGTGCCTAGCCCGGCCCCCGGGGGTCACCCTTTGTACAGCCCCCGGCTCATCAGGCTCCCTGCCGGCGCAGGGGGCGGGAGGCCCCGACCG